TTTGAAAATGTTAAAAATCACAGAATTTTAAACTTTTTCTTTCAGTTAAGAGAAGAGTAAGCTGTCACTTCAAGGGGTAATCCTGAACATATGCACTATAATTTGCTGTCATTCATTACAACTACCTTGAATGTGTTCTCAGCTTCTTTGTTTTTCTCTCATGCCTTTCCCTTGTTTATCCAAACCACAACCTGTGAGAATACAACTCTTTACCCTGACTTACATTGATGTAGCTGAAGCTGAAAGAAAATGTAACTATGCTGACTGGTTTAAACAAATTCATGGCCAAATACTTCAAGTGGTTCCTTTGCTATTGCAAGTTCATCTAACTATACTTCCCAAAAGCTATCATTCTCTTTAGATGATGATTTCACATTTGTCTTTTCTCTGCAAACCTTCAGAATTTTTTCTGACCATTTTTAACATATTGACTTGCTTTTTAATTCCTTGAGAAACTTGAAAGAATTCACAAAGAACTTCCTAGACTCCCAATCTCATACCTATTCACTTGACAGGATCTACGCCTACATATTCTGCCTTCCCATATATTATTACTGAGGAATTATCCAAAGCCAGCCTTCTACTTAGGCACTAGACCCCATACTTTTCTCATCTATTCAAGGACATTACCATTTCTCATTTCCCTCTATATAATTATTTTGTTCTGCATTATATAATTTTTATTGGCAAAGAACATACTGTTAGTTCACTGATGTAAAAAAAGAATTCACCTGGCTGTTAAGGTGATGTTTGGGATGTCCACATCCCATATTGAAGTGCTGGCTCCACTTCTGATGGTAGCTTCCTGCCATTGTGCACCCTGGAGGGCACTTGAGTCCCTGCCAGCCACTCAGGAGACCCAAACTGAATTCCAGGCTCCTGGCTTTGGCTTCCTCCAGCCTCATCATTACAGTCATTTTGAGGGGAGATGAGGAGAACCAGCAGATGGAAGATCTCTCTGTCTCTCTCTCTCTCCATTTCAAATACATTAATTTTTTAAAAAATTAAGTTGTTTGTTGATAATGATTGCCTTGCCAGCTACTCACCCACTTCTCCTTCATTCCTCTTTGCAGCATAATTCCACAGAAATGTTCTCAATACCACTCACCAGTACCTCTTTCCAATGCTCTCTTAACCCATATATCAATAAGGCTTGCCCCATCATGTCATTAGAAATGTACAGAAAGTTCACCAATGACCACAGTATCAAATATCATGATCAATTCTCAGTCTGCCTTTTGTTGAACTTACCGGTGAACAGTATTTGACAGAGTTGACACCTGGCTTTTCCTTGGTGTACTTTAGTTGCTGGGCTCCCAACATTTCAGACCCTCTAGGTTCCTCTACTTCACTGGTCAGGCCTGTTTCTCATGCTGTTTCCTTCTTTTCTCTCTGATTTATGATGAAGTGATGCAAGGCTCAGTCCTCAGTCATCTTTTCTACTCTATCTATGCACACTCTTTTAGTAAAGTCATCAAATTGTATAGCTTCAAATCTGCTTCCAAATATATTTACCACCTTAAACTTGAGAGTCATCTATCCAACTGCCTATCTAATGTCTCCACTTGATTGTCTTATAGACATCTAAAGCTCAACATGTAGACAATTTGAACTGATCTGTAGATCTTCTCACTTCTGTACCCATATACTTCCTTGCATTTATGATATTTAAAAACAATATAATGTTTCTTGAATATGACAAGAAACTCAAATCTTCTCCATCTGCATCGTTCATTCTTGACTAACTGCTAACCACGTACTTATAGTTGATCAGCTCTAAACTTCTTTTCTTTTCTCTGATACCTGACTTCCATTCTGCCAGAGAATTCTGTAGGTTTTGCCTTCAACATTTATTCAGAATTATGCCATTTCTCACTACTACTGCCACGTTGTTTCTGCTTTTAGCCACTAGAATCTGTTCTCATGAGGAATCCAAATTAGATTATACCACTTCTCACTTCAAAATTGCAAAATTTCCCCTACTTGATTGAGAATGAAAGCTAAGCATTTCCTTGGCCTAATAAATCTACACAGTCAGGCCTCTCTGCACATCTGATAAGTCACCTCCTATCACTTTCTTCCTCTGTCTCTTCTCCAACCATACTGACCTCGTTGTTCTGTGTTCTTCAAGCCCTCCCACCATTTTATTGCCTTATTACCATATGGTGGGCTTCTCTTTCCTCCTTGATATCCCCACATTATTTTTTTTTAATTTTTTTTTTTTTATTTTTGACAGGCAGAGTGGACAGTGAGAGAGAGAGACAGAGAGAGAAAGGTCTTCCTTTGCCGTTGGTTCACCCTCCAATGGCCGCCGCTGCAGCCGGCGCACCGTGCTGATCCGATGGCAGGAGCCAGGATCCAGGTGCTTTTTCCTGGTCTCCCATGGGGTGCAGGGCCCAAGCACCTGGGCCATCCTCCACTGCACTCCCTGGCCATAGCAGAGAGCTGGCCTGGAAGAGGGGCAACCGGGACAGAATCCGGCGCCCCAACCGGGACTAGAACCCGGTGTGCCGGCGCCGCAAGGTGGAGGATTAGCCTATTGAGCCACGGCGCCGGCTGATATCCCCACATTATTCTCCTGTCTAATTTCCTTACCTCCCTGCAGTTTTTCTCACATGATACTTTCTCAGTGAGCCTGCCTGACCACTCTCTCACCTCCCTACCACCTCCCATCCCCCTTTAGTTTGCTCTAAACTTGTCCTTTTCCATAGCTCTTACTCTTTCTAACATGCTTTTGAATTAATTCAGTCCTTTGTTTAATTTTTCATTGTTTGCCTTCCCCATTGGAATGTAAGCTCCATAGCTCTGATTGGTCTACTAGTATATTCCCAGGGTATAACACTTTAAAAACACCTAAAATATCTATGTTTTGGGAAAATATTTTCTATATTTTTCACAGTGCTCATTGATATTGATCATACACAAATGCCCTTTTTCTTTGCTCCTTGAAGACCAAGTAATATCATTTGCTTTCTGAATTGTGTGCAAGCAATATAATATGTCTCTAGGTGATTGGGAAGGAGATATGGAGGACTCCTAAGTCTTTCTCTAATGCATCATATGTAATTGGAAAGGTATTTCTTTCACCAGTTACCAGATATCTTTTATTTTTGAGGTTCAGTTTCATTGTATCTATCCATATGTCTGGGAAGATTATAAAATCTTAAAAAGAGAATTCCCCATTTCAAAATCTATATTTACCATGTTTTAGACCTTTATCATTATGTGTAAACATCCCATTTTATGTAAGATCAGTTCATGAGTCACTTTTTCTTCTTCACATTGAAACCAATTGTACTTTGCAATGACAATCGAGTAAAATTCTCAATTGCAGCACTGAAATTTTTTGCTAGTTGTTTATTTGAGAGACATAGAGAGAGAAAGAGAAAGAGGAGAGAGAATTCCAATCTTCTGATTCACTCCCCTAATACCCACATTAGCCAGGACTGGGCCAGGCCAGATCTACAACCTAGGAACTCCATCCAGGTGTCCCATGTGTGTGGTAGAAACCCAGTTATTTCAGTGATTACCTGCAACTTCCTAGGGTGTATATATATATATATTTTTTTTTTGGACAGGCAGAGTGGACAGTGAGAGAGACAGAGAAAGGTCTTCCTTTTGCCGTTGGTTCACCCTCCAATGGCCGCCGCGGCAGGCGCGCTGCGGCTGGCGCACCGTGCTGATCCGATGGCAGGAGCCAGGTGCTTTTCCTGGTCTCCCATGGGGTGCAGGGCCCAAGCACTTGGGCCATCCTCCACTGCACTCCCTGGCCACAGCAGAGAGCTGGCCTGGAAGAGGGGCAACCGGGACAGAATCCGGTGCCCCGACCGGGACTAGAACCCAGTGTACAAGGCGGAGGATTAGCCTAGTGAGCCGCGGCTCTGGCTCCTAGGGTGTATATTAGCAGAAAACATAGCTAAAACTTGAACCCAGGCAATCTGATATGGGATGTTGGTATCCCAACCATTAGGCTAAATACTTGCTCCTAAAATTGTTTTATTGAACATATTTCTGTGCTCAAAGATCATTATAGACAGGATTTTAGTTAGAATTTCCTGATATTTAAAAATTCTCACTGACAAAGGTAGTTGGAATAGACCTATGATAGAGGAACACTACATAAATGGTTGATAATTGGTCATAATTCAACGAAATGCTTTCTTTAGCCAACGTCTTTGAGTTCCTTGGATGGAAGTTATTATCTGAATCCCAGAGGAGTATAGAGCTCAAAAATAATTATGATAGTTAATGTTTAATGAATCAGGCCGCCCAAAGCCCTGAATAAGTAAGCACCCCATGGGAGACCAGGAAAAGCACCTGGCTCCTGGCTCCTGCCATTGGATCAGCGCGGTGCGCCGGCCGCAGCGCGCTGGCCGCGGCGGCCATTGGAGGGTGAACCAACGGCAAAGGAAGACCTTTCTCTCTGTCTCTTTCTCCCATGGTCCACCTCTGCCCGGTCAAAAAAAAAAAAAAAAAAAAAAAGAAAGAAAAAATGTTTAATGAATCAACTATGCCATACCTAACACTTCCTCACTCCAAGCTGCTCTCCTACTCTCACCCTGGGTTTTCTCTCTCTCTCTCCTTCCCTGACTTCATTTTTCTTCAAGACTACTTAATCTCAACCTCAAATCTTATATTTATTTGTTTCTCTCTAATAACAGAATACTTTTTCTTCCTTATCTTTGCAACTCTAACATCTATAACACTGAATGACACACACAAGGAACCTAATAAATATGAGTTGAAAGAATAAATAAATGTTCTTTACCTCATTCAGTTTTCTCAGCCACACCATAAGATAGGTTCTGTTGCTACTATACCCATTAAACAGAGGAAGAAACTAAAGCTTGAGGAGGCAACCAGCAAGTAAGTAACAGAGCCTGGGTTCTTTGCCTTCTGCATATTTCTTCAAAGAAAAAAATGTTATTTACAATTAGTGCCTGAAATTAGAACAAAGCAAAGCAAAACAAAACATATACACACTCAAATGCTTCCTGCAGGAGAAGAGGAAAATTCCTGCTGTACCAAATGGAACAGCAGCTCATGGAGAAGCTGAACCTCACGGAGGACATAGTGGACCTGAACTTCAGCGAACAGGAAGGTGAGTGAAAATCAATTATATGGGATTTTAAGTACCAAGTGACATAAAATTCTTGTCTGTCAGGGGAATTGCTATTTTGAAATCAAATTTATTTTATGCATTTAATACCTACTTTTTGGGAGTGAAATACAATTTAATTTAATTTATCTTCTATAACTAATGATTGTCATTACTGTTAAATCAGAACAGTGAATACACCATTCCATTTTATCTTACCTAGTATCTTATTTTGATGTGCATAAAATGCTTTCACAGATTCTTAGAATAAGTAAACTGTCAATTGATTCTTCCAATGGAGCCCATTGAAAGCTTCAAATTCAAGATTGAAATAAAAATAAATATCAAGAGCTCACTCTTTTAGACACTATCTCATTAAATGCAAGTAGGATGTATATATTGGTATTTTTTTATTTTTGTGGCTGTGGTTTGAAAGAGCTATATGATTTATTTTTCTAATCACACATCTTTGAAGAGATGAAAGCTTCAATTTATTTCTTAAAATGGTTCTTTATGGTTTCTTGACAGCTTGTCTCTCTCCAAGCAATGTGTGAGCAGAAAATCAAGAAACCCTTGGGTGGGTCTCTCTTCAGAGAGTGTTTGTGTACAGCCTCATAATTGAAAGCAGTTGCAAAGCCTTTTTAGGACAGATGCTCCCCTCCCACCAAGGCTACTTCCTGTACTGCTTGCAATGTGTCCTCTATGCTGACTTTCCAGTTGCTGACAACCTTGTGCTTTTTAATTCTCCTGTGTTCTTTCCCTTTAACTATGCTTTGTCTCTGAGGAAGCGTCCTTTAGCATCTTCCTCAGTCTTTATATAAAATTTGAGGTGGTTCAAATAATATTTTCCTTTTCCCTTTACTGGAAGCTTTGTTACTCATTCTGTTTGCTTCCATACCTTTAAATTCTGTCTTTTTATTTTTGGTGGTATCTCTCTCTCTCTCTCTCTCTCTCTCTCTCTCCCCCTCTCCCTTTTCCTCTCCCTCTCTCTCTCTCTCTCTCTCTCTCTCTCTCTCGGGTGTAACATGCCACATAGCTTAGATTTTTTTCGAAGTTCACTTTTCCTTACTGCTGCCTAAATCCTCCCAGGTCACCAATATCCGGTATCTTCGCTTCTCCAGAGTTCTTCCACAGATTCTGTTGCTGACATGACTTGAAGTATCCATTACTCATCTTCTCTCCTGGAGTTCCTGATGTACATCTGGGCTGCTCTTGCACTGTTCTCTGTAATGAACTCCCACTTCCAGATTTAGATTTTTACTGCTAAAAGCACATTTCTTACACAGTCATATAACAGCTATTTAGACTAATGTATGCTCTAATAAATAATTATTTAGAAAGCAATGGTCTAATCTAAATTTATGTCAAGACTATAAATATTAAATACTAATTAATAGTTCATAACCGCTTCAAATTATTTTGGGGATTATGTGGGATATAAATCATAAATCAATGCATAAATATACTAGTAGAGTTAATCTGTTTTGAATTGTGACTGTGACAAGTTAACAAATTATTGAGAAGTGACCCTCAAAATTACAATTATACACATTACGATTGTTTTACTGTGCATAGGTAGAGAACCTACAGTGATCTTTTTGTGTATAAATTTCACAGTTATCTGCAAGCTCTTCTGAGTTTCAAAGGCCTATATCTTTGTTTCTCAATTGGAATTTCATTCTTCTCAATCCTCTCCTGCTCCATAGCTCTCTGATGGAAGCAATCACCAGGAAAATCCAGTGATTCTAAAACTCTGTAATAGTAAGGGAATTACTGTTATGCAGCTATTATATCTACATTGCATAAGGAAAATTGAAGTAGCAGTCAGCATTTTCAGCTGTACTGAATATACACATTTTTCAAGGCCAACCAGAATTTATTTCTCAAGAGAACAATCATTTTGGAGGGAATTCAAAGACTGCCACATGTTGCTACTCAATGTACAAATGATGAGAATGCTTCTTTTTTTAAAAAAGATTTATTTATTTATTTGAAAGAGTTACACAGAGAAAGAAGGAGAGGCAAAGAGAGAGAGGGCTCTTCCATCCGCTGGTTCATTCCCCAATTGGCTGCAAAGGCCAGAGCTGCACCGATCCGAAGTCAGGAGCAGGAGCTTCTTTCAGTTCTCCCACATGGGTGCAGGGGCCCAAGCACTTGGGCCATCTTCTACTGCTTTCCCAGACCATAGCAGAGAGCTGGATCAGAAGTGGAGCTGTTGAGAATTGAACCGGTGCTCATATGGGATGCTGTTGCTGTAGGCAGTGGCTTTACCCACTACGCCACAGCACTGGCCCCAAGAATGCTTCTTTAATCATTCTCTCATTACTATAAGTAAAAACAATTTAGTCCTCAGATTTTAAGCATCATTTCACAATTTATTACTCCCCTCACTAAAATTCTCTTTTAAATGTTTCAATGTGCTCTTGGATATATTTTGAATAAGTGAATTTATACCAAGAATGATCACACTTGCATTGTGAAGATAGATGTTGAGCTATGCCTAGACAATAGTAGATCCAAATTACATGTATTTAGTTCAATTATTATTATAAAGTTGCCTCCTACTTTCATAAATATGAAAATAACTTTGGAACCTATCTGTCTTTACTGAGTATTACTGTTATCCATGCGCTCATGTAGATGGAATGCAAACAATTAGAAAAAACTGCCAGTGATTAAGGGTACTAGGCTTGAGCACAGGAGGTTGATATGGAATTGGCACAGCGATTAAAGTAATCCTTGAATCTCATTATTCTAATTTTGATTGGTGAACAGCCTTGATCTTGTTTGAGCGAACCTGGAATTTTTAAGTTGTTGATCCAATATTGAGTTAGGAATTGAGGTAAGAGTAATACAAAACCATCCCTATAGACCATGACAATATAGTGTAGGGGGTTACTGTGGTCTTACCTCTGCTGATGGAAAACATACTGTGATCTGGAAACAAAACAAACAGCATTTTTATTTGTGTGTTTTTTATATTGGATTTCACTGTTGTGTTTTCCCCCTGTCTTAGGATTTTTGGGGGACTTATTTTAGATATCAAAAGAAAAGCTCCATACTTCTGGAGTGACTTCAGAGATGCTTTCAGCCTGCAGTGCTTAGCATCTTTCCTATTTCTCTACTGCGCATGTATGTCTCCTGTCATCACATTTGGAGGACTGCTGGGAGAGGCAACTGAAGGTCGTATAGTATGTATTTTGTTTTCTCTGAACTTTGAAGCTTAATCATTGTTGAGATTCATAGATAAGTAGGCATTTAATTTTGGGTTCCTTTAATGAGAAGAGATTTGATGTATGATCTGGCAGATAATCTTTTTATGAATTTCCTGTATGGCTAGTGGAATTGATAATTTGGGATGGTAATATCTCAGAAGAACTACTTCTGTGTCTTACACAAAGTTCTCATCCAATTCTCTGCCCTTTGCCCTTTAATTGTAGGCTAATTTAGGCTGTGGTTCATGCCTCTCAATAGATCCATTTTCCATTTATCTGGACCATATTTCTAATCCTGAATCAATTTAAACTTTTGGTAAGCCAACAGAAAAGAGAGATAGGAAGGTAGAGAGGACACCTCTCCATCACTATCATTAATTTTCTGCCTACTGTCAGCCCCTTTTCTCATCCTTCTATCCTATGTCCTGCCCGTAATTGCTATGTTTTTCATAGTGAAAGGGAAAGCACATATTTTTGTATTTTTCCCTCCTTGTTAGAATGGCTGCCAGTACATCTTAGGCAATGAAACCATTTATATCTCTACACAGAGTGCAATCGAATCTCTCTTTGGAGCATCCATGACCGGCATTGCCTATTCCCTCTTTGGCGGACAGCCACTTACCATATTGGGAAGTACAGGACCAGTTTTGGTGTTTGAAAAGATTTTGTTTAAATTTTGCAAGTAAGTATTATGTACTCTTGGCCCTGGCCCTTTTCTTTTCTTAAATATTTATTTTTTTACTTGAGAGACAGAGTTACAGACAGTGAAGGAGAGACAGAAAGATCTTCTATCTGCAGATTGACTCCCCAAATGATCACAACAGCTGGAGCTGGGCCAATCTAAAGTCAGGAGCCAGGAGCTTCTTCCAGGTCTCCCAAGCGGGTAAAGGGGCCCAAAGATTCAAGCCATCTTCCACTGCTTTCCCAGGCCACATCAGAGAGCTAGTTTGGAAGTGGAACAGCAGGGAGTCAACTGGCATATGGAATGCTAGCACCATAGGTGGAGGCTTAGCTTACTACTTCACAGCGCCACCAAGCCCTTTTCTTCACTGTATTTGTGCTTCTCCCAGCATCACTTCTAGGATTTCTGGAGTGGCTGATATGATTCACTTTGTCCTTTATTTCTCCCCATAGAAGAGAAGAAATAAAGAGTATGTGTATTGTTTTATAATATTTATAAAATATAAAATTCAATTCTAAGCACTGAGAAACCTCTTTTAGGTTTGTCTCCTTAGTTTCCTTTAGACAAACCTTGAGTTTCCATATTAATGGGATGTGAAGTTTATTTATCTCTACTTCCTGAATTAGCCTTATCCCCATTTATTTATAATACTGGTACACTGTTAAATTGCTTCTTTCCACTGTTCTTTCTTTTTTGTCTTCCTAGGGAATATGGGCTGTCATACCTATCTTTAAGAGCTAGTATTGGACTGTGGACAGCAACACTGTGTATCATACTTGTAGCCACTGATGCAAGTTCTCTTGTCTGCTATATCACCCGGTTTACTGAAGAAGCTTTTGCTTCCCTTATTTGCATTATTTTCATTTATGAGGCTCTGGAGAAATTGTTTGAACTTAGTGAAGCATACCCAGTCAACATGCATAATGATTTGGAACTGCTGACTCAATATTCGTAAGTACTATTTCTCCTGTTGGTTATGGGGCTTTTCTTTTCACAAATATTGCTATTGTTACAGGGAATATGAAATTATTGAGTGCAAAATGTGCCTTACTCTGACTCATGACCTAAATCCCGGACTTACAAAATTAAGCAGAATTTTAAAAGTCTTCTAATTAGCCACTTATCTGATACTTGAGTTCTCATTAAAACATCACTGCAAAGAATATCTTTACAGTTACATTATATGCCAAATTTTCCCTACAATAAGTAGGTAATTAACCAAGGCAATTTTAATATACATAGATTTTGCTTTTGGAAAATCTATCATTGTTTAGATTATTTCAATTGACTATAAAGAATATACTACTGAAAACATAGGATTTCAAATTTACAGCAGCAAAGTAAAAGAAACACTTTGGGTCTAAGTAGTATTAGCTTGATGTTTAACAGTATGATAAAAACATAAAGGTATTACATTCAGGTATTACTTATTGGGGGTATTATAATGCAGGAGTAAAAATGAAATTTGACTTATTGCATTCTCTAGTTTTAGAAAGTTTGGAATTCCTTTAAGGCTGTGTCTACTGAGTATATGTGGCCTGTAAATGACTCTTTTATTTAATTTTTAGCATTTTAAAATATGTGTAGATTTTTATATAACCAATAGTTGGAGCAATATGCTCTTTATGAAATGGTTAAAACCTCTGCATCAACCTCCAAAGTTTTTGCTATAAATGGCTTAGATATGGCCTTAAACCCTTTGAAATTTTTTAATATTATTTACTACTAGAATATGATATTATTGAAATCACACAAAATAGTCCAACATTTTAGGTTTTTCTAAAGTTTTATTTATTTGGGGTTGGCATTTGGTGAAACAGGTAAAGCCCACCCCCAACACTGGCATCCCATATGGCCACCAATTTGAGTCCTAGCTCTCCACTTCTGACCCAGCTCCCTGCTAATAGATCTTGGAAACAGCAGAAGATGGCCCAACTGCCTGGGCCCCTGCAACCATGTGGGAGACCTGGATGAAGCTCCTGGCTCTTGACTCCTGGCTTCAACTTGGCCCAGCCCTGGCCATTGTGGCCATTTGGGGAGTGACTCAGCAGATGGAAGATCTCTCTATCTCTATCTCTATCTCTACCTCTATCTCTATCTCTATCTCTATCTCTATCTCTATCTCTATCCTATCTCTGTCTCATTTCTCTCTGTAACTCTGCCTTCCAAATCAATGAAATCTTGAAAAGATTTAATTATTTGAAATACAAGGGGCCAAGCTGAAACCAGGATCCAGGAACTCTATCTTGGTCTCCCACATGAGTGGCAGAGGCCCAAGCACTTGGGCTATCTCCTGCTGCTTCCTAGATCCATTAGCAAGGAGCTGGATCAGAAGCAGAGCAGCCAGAACATGAACTGACACTCTGAATTGGGTTGCTGGAATTGCGATTGATGGCTTAATGTGCTGCACCACACCACCATCCCCAGTATTACAATTTCACTAAGAATGATGTAACTATAACATGCTTATTAGTATTTTGACATATTCTTGGTCTTTAGAAATAGTTTTTAACAGAGTACCCTTATTTTTGAACAAGAAAAAGAAACACAAAATAACTCTCAATAAAAGCAAATAGTGAGAATGTTGTGAACAGTGTTAAAGAAAGAATGTATATGTTAGAGACCCTCAGAAAGCCAGCAGATAGGACAGTAGTTTTTTCAGACCCAGGGATACCTGATATCTGCCGATTTCAACTATCTTTACTTGAAAAGAGAGTGTCACTGAATTTGGTATCCTAGCTAAAATATATAATTATCTCATGTTGGATTTTCATGCATATTGTATCCTGGGTACTAGCAAAATCATGATAAGTGATATTCTTTCCTTAATGAGCTTCCAGTTGAGTTGGGAATGCAGATAAACAAAAGAGCACCTCATCCAGATTTGGAGTTCAGACAAAGATTCCTAGAGGAAGTAATACAGAAGAAAAAGACCAGCTGGGGTTATTAGGAATGTGCTGTTAGACAAATGTTATGCACAGACTTGAATGTAAAAGGTTTGTTAATGCTTGGCAATATTTATCCAAAATCATATAGGTAGTAGTGAAATAAGAAATGAAATGAAAGCTGATGTAATTTTCAGTACACTGATAAATACAAATAAGCCCTACAAAAGAAATGATGTGGAACAAATAAAACAGGTTAAAACAGAACTGCTCTGTTTGAAGTAGTGGCACAGAGCCAATTGCTTACTTTTCTTTGGCTTCTTATGTACTTCAGACTTAAAAACACAGTTTAAGACCCTTTATTCTAGAAAGAAAGCGATTGGAGAAGCAAGGATTGAGTCCCAGAAAATGTTCACAACTTGAAGGTAAAATAATGAAAAAATTGCAACTGAGGGATAAAACTGTAAGAAAGAAATACCAGGAAAGGAAGGAACCATGGATAATGTCTGGGTGTAGGAGGGAAGATGCAAGAATGTATCAACAAGTCTCTAGAGATGTCATTGGTGTGGGAATCAAACTGAAGGGGGAAAGGATTTCAAAAAAGTTCAGTTAACTTTAAGAAATGGTGTTTGATAACCTAGAAGAGGCAGCATGATAGGCCAGTTTGCAAAAAAATTAATAAGGGAATAAATGGTAAAGAAATAGAGAAATTAGGCATGGATAATTCTGATGTCAAAGAAAGTGGAAAAGAAGATGCCTGCTGGAAATGGCAATGTCACGAGAAGAGCAATTGAGATGTGCGTGAAGAGCAATTTGCATGTATGGAAATAGAGAAAATGAATAGAGAATGGGGAGAGAGTGGGTAAACATAAGATTGCAACATCCCAGGAGCCAAAAAAATAGTGGAGGTGAGTAGAACAATGCACAGAAGATGATTTGAGAATGAAAACAGCTTTATGTATCCTCGATCCCTGCCAGTCATGATCAAGAGAGTCATAGGTCTGACTTTTTCCATGTTTCTATCTCTCTTTAAAAAGTGACTCTCTCAAGTGTAAGTTTTACTTGGATCAGTAAGGATGTCTGAAGCCTAATTATTTAAAGACTGAGCATAAATATGTGTGGATCACTGTATTCCATTGCTTGTTTCCTGTTCAACCTAAATTAGGGAGATAGAGGGACAAAAGACTTCCCTCACGGGCAGTGAAGTATGGTGGTGTCTGGTACCCTAGATGAGAGTAACAGAAACAGAGTAACAGTCTCCTGGAAAGGTGCTGCTGACCAGACACTCTTACTTCTCCGGTTCTTCATTTCTGTTTTCACTGCATGATTGCCTGGTTCCAGTGCAACTCACATTGTGTATGTGAATTTGACCAGGTCCTTACTGGTTCTCCAGAGAAGCAAAATCAATCTTTCTCATTATGCATATAATGGATATATTAGTGTATTTTAGTTACATGCATTAAAGAAAGTAGATAAGTTTTTGCTATAACATTTATTTTTATCATGTTGTATCGTATCATATTTTTACACAAAACCCAGTTTATGAAGTGGCTTTCTTTTTCCTGTCACTGTGACATTTTCACACTAGTCAGTTTCTAAGAGTCAATAATACTAATGCCCACCAGAAATTGTCTACTTCAAATGTTGCTAGCCTCATGCTTTCATAGGTTTTATTAGAAAAGCTCATAGAAATTGTAATAGCTAAGAGTGCTGTATCTGAGACTGTGATCTTTATAAACTGAATATGTCTATAATGCTATATATTTTGCTCAGGTGTTAGGTATTAGAAAATGTCATCTTGTTTAGGATCCATGTTTCCGATATTATTATTATGCTTCAGCCTCCTGTAATCAATTTTCTTAAATTCATAGCTCACCAATGAAATAAATAATGGCTTTGGTTTCCTAAGTGCTTTTCCTAACACCTCTAGCATCCTAATCATTTAACATGGTAATATATAATGTCTACATTATATATTATATTTGAAGATATATGCTTTCCTTTCATTTTGCCAAGACTAAGTGTCAAGATAATCTATTTTGTTTTGAGAATATATACATCTATGTTTTATATATTACATATCAGATGATCAAGTTGACTATGTCAGGTTTGCAATAAGTAATGAGTTTGTGGGGATTTTTTTCTTGGTTGTTCTGATTCTAAGAAATGGCAAAAAATAGAATGAAGTATTCTGGTTGTTCAAGTCCTATCCCAGTAGCAGTAGTATCCACCAGTATAATGGTTTACTGATTACCTATTTTGCTCTCACAACCTTAATGAGTTACAAACATTTTTGTGGACGGAATTAGTATCTCTTCATCTTTCAGAGAGCTTGGATATTAGGAGATACCAGTACATATTTGTTAAGTACCTGTCATCAATATTTATTTATTCTTCATATCTACTTTCAGCTATTGTTTTCCTTTGCTATAACTATCTTTTAAACTCATAAACCTTAAATAATAATCACTCCTACCTTCTTGTCAAATAGCTATGAGAAAGCAGCAATTTATAGGGTTATCAAATTACTAGAGGGAGAGTGTTAAGCAGGTATTTGTGGTTTCTTGATTGATATTTGTTGTTCATTTCCTTTTTCATCTCTGATTCTACTGATTTGGTGTTCTTCACTTTTTTTTTTTTGGTTAGTTTTTCCAGTGGTGTATCAATTTTGTTTATTTTTTCAAAAAACCAGCTCTTCATTTCACTGATCTAATTTCTTTAAATAACTGCTTCTTATCTACTGATACACACAACATCAGTGAAAAGCACTTTAAATAGGCAACAGAGTTAGTTTTCTAAGAAAGCATTCATAATAAAATATTCCTTCAACAACTTCACTGGATTATCTTATTCTTATAGCCCATTGTAAGTGAATATATTTAAAATAAAAGCAAGTATATTCTTGACAGAGTACTTAGAAATACATAGCTCTAAAAACTTGTGAACCATTGATCTAGTTACTAGAAATTTCAGTTTCTAAAAATATTAGTTAATATGGGTTCAGCCTCTACTAAAGCTTTTTTTTTAAGATTTATTTACTTGAGAGGCAGAGTCACAGAGAAAGAG